AGACTTCCAGTACTATGTTAAATAAGAGTGGCGAAAATGGGTATCCCTTTCCTGTTCCTGTTCTTAAGGGAAATGCTTTTAGTTTTTTGCCATTGAATATGATGTTGGCTGTAGGTTTTTTATATATGGCCTTTATTATGGCAAGATATGATTCCTCTATTCCCACATTGCTGAGCGCTTATATGGGAAATGGATGCTGGATTTTGTTGAATGCTTTTTCAGCATCTATTAATAAGATCATATGGTTTTTATCTTTCATTTGGTTTATGTGGTGTATCACATTTATTGATTTGCAAATATTGTGCCATCCTTGTATCCCTGGAATGAATCCCACTTGGTCATGATGAATAATTTTTTTTTGATGTATTGCTGGATCCAATTTGCTAATATTTTGTTAAGGATTTTGGCATCTGTGTTCATCAGTGATATTGGACTGTAGTTTTCTGTCTTTGTCGTGTCTTTATCTGGTTTTAGAATTAGGATTATGCTGGCCTCATAAAATGAGTTTGGAAGTCTTCCCTCTTCTTGGATTTATTTAGAATAGTTTGAGGAGAATGGGTGTTAGATCTTCTTTGATTGTTTGGTAAAACTCCCCCATGAAGCCATCCAGGCCTGGGCTTTTGTTTGCTGGGAGTTTCTTGATTACATCTTCAATTTCCTTCTTGTTATTGGTTTGTGAACGTTTTCTATCTCTTCCCAGTTCAGTTTTGGAAGACCGGTGTTTCTAGAAATTTGCCCATTTCACCTAGATTGTCCAATTTGTTGTCATATAATTGTTCATAGTATTTTTTAATGATCTATTGTTTGTTTTTTGTTTGTTTGTTTTGTTTTTTTTATCCTCACCCGAGGACATTTTTTCATTTTTTGTTCGGGTAGAGTGGGAGGGAGAGAGAGGAACAGAGAGAGAGAGAGAAACATCGATGTGAAAGGAACACATCGAGTGGCCGCCACCCGCACAACCGACCAGGGCCGGGGACAAACTGCAACCGAGATACGCGCTCTTAGCAGGAACCGAACCCAGGTCTCTCAGGACCGCAGGCCAACGCTCTAACCGCTGAACCAAACCGGCCAGGGCTTAATGATCTTTTGTATTTCTGTGGTATGTTATTACTTCTCTTTCATTTCTGATTTTGTTAATTTGGGTCCTCTCTTTTTGATTCTTGGTGAGTCTGGCTAAAGGCCCATCAATCTTGTTTATCTTTTCAAAGAACCAGCTCTTTGTTTTATTGATCTTTTGAATTTTTTTTTTTTTAGCTTCTATGTCATTTATTTCTTCTGTGACCTTTACTATTTCTTTTCTTCTACTTGCTCTGGGTTTTTCCTTTTGTTTACTTTCTAGTTCTTTAAGTTTTAGGGTTAGAAAGTCAATTAGGAATTTTTCTTGTTTCTTGAGGTAGGCCTGTAGTGTTATGAACTTCCCTCTCAAGACCACTTTTGCTGTGTCCCTTAGATTTTGCGTTGTGTGTTTGTTTTCATTGGTTTCCAGGAAGTTTTTAATTTCTTCCTTGATCTCCTTGGTAACCCATTCTTTGTTTAATAACATGCTATTTAGCCTCCATGTGTTTAAATGTTTTTATTATAATTGATTTCTATTTCTATGCCATTGTGATCTGAGAAGATGCTTGATATGATTTCAATCTTCTTGAATATGTAGAGACTTACTTTGTGTCCTAACATATGGTCTATCTTCAAGAATGTCCCATGTGTACTTGAGAAGAATGTATATTCTGCAGCTTTGGGTTGAAATGTTCTGTAAATATCAATTAAGTCCAACTGATCTAGTTTGTCATTTAAGGATGCTGTGTCCTTGTTAATTTCTTGTCTAGAAGATCTATCCAGTGGTGTCAGTGGGGTGTTAAAGTCGCCCACTATAATTGTGTAGCTATTGATCTCTCCCTTGAAGTCCTCCAGAAGTTTTTTAGTATATTTTGGTGCTCCTGTATTTGGTGCATATATGTTTACCAGGGTTATTTCCTCTTGTTGGATTGATCTTTTTCATATTATGTAGTGACCTTCTTTGTCTCTTATTATGGCTCTAGTTTTTAAGTCTATCTTATCAGATATGAGTATTGCTACAGCAGCTTTTTTTTTTTTTTTTTTTAAATTTCCATTTGATTGGGATATTTTTTTCCATCCCTTCACTTGCATCCTGTGTGAGTCTTTTGTTGTGAGGTGGGTCTCTTATAGACAGCATAAATATGAGTCATGTTTTCTTATCCAATCAGCTACCCTATGTCTTTTGATTGGAACATTTAAGCCATTACATTTAAGGTTATTATTGGTAGATACTTATTAGTTGCCATTTTTATTTTATTCCCATGTCCCCCCCCCCCCCCTTTCTTCTTCTTCTTACAACAGTCCCTTTAGCATTTTTAGCAGTGCTGGTTTGGTAGTAGTAAATTCCTTTAGCTTTTTTTGGTCTGTGAAGCTCTTTATTTCTCCTTCAATTTTGAATGATAGCCTTGCTGGATAGAGTAGTCTTGGATTCAGACCCCTGCCTTTTATTACTTTGCATACTTCATGTCACTCCCTTCTGGCCTGCAGTGTTTCTATTGAGAAATCAGCTGACAGTCTAATGGAAACTCCCTTGTAGGTAACTTTCTGTCTCTCTCTTGCTTCCTTTAAGATTCTTTCTTTGTCTTTAATGTTTGCTCTGGGTCTTTTTATTAGGATGTGTCTAGCTGTGGGTCTCTTTGGGTCCATCTTGCTTGGAACTCTCTGTGTTTCCTGAACTTATGTGACTCTTTCCTTCACCAATTTAGGGAAGTTTTCTGTCATTATTTCTTCAAACAGGTTCTCTATTCCTTTCTCTGGGTCTTCTCCTTCTGGTACCCCTATGATGTGAATGCTGTTATGTTTTGTATTGTCCCAAAACTCCCGTAAACTCTTCTCCTGCTTTTTATTTATTTTTCCTATTTGCTGCTCCATTTGGGTATTTTTTTCTACCTTGTCTTCTAACTTGCTGATTTGGTCTTCAGCTTCTTCTAATCTACTATTGGATCCTTCTAAGGTATTTTTAATAACAGCTATGTCGTGCTTTATTTCCTCTTTATTTTTATTCATAGCTTCTACCTCTTTTTTTAGGCTGATGTAGTTCCTACTAGGTCTTCATAATTCTTATTAAGTTGCTTATAGTTCTCACTAAATTGTTTGAGTACCCTTAAAATCATTGCTTTAAATTCTTTATCTGACAAATTGCTTTCATTTCCTGTAGTTCCTTTTTTGGTGATACCTCCTTTTCTTTCATTTGGGTGTTGTTTCTTTGTCTCACTATTTTAGCAGTCTGGCAGTTCTTGGCCCAGGGAGGGATGTTGGAATGTGTAGGCAGATCTATGTGTATCACATAAGGCTGCTGTGCCTCCCAGACTCTTTTGATGTGTGGTGCCTCTTGCCTGCTGTGGGTCCTGGAGGATTGACAACTGGTGGCTGGTATTGGTCTGTTGGGTTAGGCACTCTTGGGGTGGGTCTCAGCTCCTGACCAGTCACTACTGGGGATGAGTGTCAGCTCCCAGTTTGCATTGCTACTGCTACTACTGCTGCTATTGCCAGGGGGTGCTCTCAGCTCCCAATCCTCTGCTGCTGTTGGGGGCTGAGGATGCTCAGCTCCAGGGACTTTGCTTCTGCTGGGGGAAGGCTCCACTCCAAATCTGCTGCTGCAGTTGTCAGGTGCAGGTCTCAGCTGCCCGAGTCTTGCTACTTAGGTTGGAGCCCTGCTCCTAATTAGCCTCTGCTGATGCCACTAGGGATGGGTCTCAGCTGCTGATCTGTGCTGCTGCTGCCTGGGGATGGATCTGGCCTATCTTCTTTTAATACCCTATCCTGCTTCACTCTGCTTCTCACTGATTTCTCCTGAAAACACTTCCTTCAACATCACTTGTGCAAGAATCCTAGTGTCAGGCTCTGCTCATAATAAATCCAACATAAGACATACAGGTTGGTGTGGTTACTCATGACTGCAGTCTCCTTTAGGGTGACAGTTGCAGACATTGTGAGCCATGTTCCTTGTGCTGTGTCCTGTCTCTCAGACATAATGATATGAGAAAAACAAGGGAAGATTAGTCATCTACAAACAAGTGTGCACAAATGGCAAGAAATAGTAAAGGTCCCAAAGATTTAGCAGTTTAGTTGACAAGACTTGACTGTAACAAAATGTTTTCAGGGCCCTGGTAATGATATTTGGAACACTGGTGTCTTAGATTGGGTGCCCTCAGGAGCAGACCCCAGATGGTTTCAAATCCAATGGTATATTAGGGAGAGAATACTAAGAAGCACTTCAGGGAACCTGGGAAGTGACCCAGGCAATTGATAGGAGCCAGTATAGAATGATGTGGGAAAAGCTTACTCTTCGGCAGCTGGGGTTCATTCCACTGACGACCTCTAGAGACTGGTACGACTTGCCCCACTGCAGGGGAAAGATGCTGGAGCATTTATCCACTGCTCCCGTCCCCTGGCTGAGCCCTGCTCCTACCGACTTAAGTCCCTGGCTGCCCTGAGCTTGCTCTCCATCCAGAGAAAGCTCTCAGAGAATTCCAGGTGCTTGCTGGAAGAAATCATCTTCTTATAAACAAAAAATAAGAGAATTCAGTTAGAAATCCTAATATCACCAGCTATAGTCTGCTCTCTGCAGAGAAGAACAGTGGAGCAATTCACAGCTAAGAATTTTGAGTCAAGAAGGAATAATCAGACACAATGATCTTATAGTTGTATGCATGGCAAACTAAGATTTATTTGAGTTTTAGGACTGGCTTCATATGAGAAAATCTGGCAGGGAAGGAATATATCAATTGGGATACATATTGGTTAAAAGATTTCAGAGAAAATTCTAACTTTGTGTTCATTTGGGAAAGAGGTAGTAACATGGTGGGGGCAGTATATTTGGAGGCCAAATCAGTTTAAGAATCAGTTAAAACTGAGGTTTTACTATTGGCCTCTCAAGACTCAGTTCATTGGACTACATTATGATTGGTTGATGAAAAATGAGTGGGCACAGGTCAGGGCGGTCAGCAGCAGGAACCACTGGAGCAGACTGGGCGGCAGCAGGTGGTCTGGCAGCAGGTGGGGCGGCAGGTAGTGATGCAACAAGTGGGGCGGCAGCAGGTGGTCTGGCAGCAGATGGGGCGGCAGCAGCTGGAGCCACAGCAGGAGGGGCGGCAGCAGCTGGAGCCACAGCAGGAGCCACAGCAGCTAGGGCGGCAGCAGGTGGTCTGGCAGCAGATGGGGCGGCAGCAGCTAGAGCCACAGCAGGAAGGGCGACAGCAGCTGGAGCCACAGCAGGAGCCACAGCAGCTAGGGCGGCAGCAGGTGGTCTGGCAGCAGATGGGGCGGCAGCAGCTGGAGCCACAGCAGGAGCCACAGCAGCTAGGGCGGCAGCAGGTGGTCTGGCAGCAGATGGGGCGGCAGCAGCTGGAGCCACAGCAGGAGGGGCGGCAGCAGCTGGAGCCACAGCAGGAGGGGCGGCAGCAGCTGGAGCCACAGCAGGAGCCACAGCAGCTAGGGCGGCAGCAGGTGGTCTGGCAGCAGATGGGGCGACAGCAGCTGGAGCCACAGCAAGTGGGGCGGCAGCATGTGGTCCCACAGCAAGTGGTCTGGCAGCAGCTGGGGCGGCAGCAGGTCTCCTGGCCACAGCCTTGGCCACAGCCCTGGTCAGAGCACACGGATCCACTACAGGAGTTGACCATGGTGGCAGAGGGTAGAGGTTCTGAGTGAGTTTTCAGGAAGGTGGGTTTGGAAGGTTTGGAAGTCTGCTTGCCCCAGCTCCCCTTTTATACCCTGCTAAGGGGCTGCTGTCATCAGCTGCAGAGCTCTTTCCTTGTCATTGTTTGTCCTAATTAGCAGGCAATTATCAAAGCAGCCAAGTTTGTTTTCCTGTTTAACCTTTTGAAGATGGATGGGAAACATTGTTTCCTTTTCTGATGTTTCAGGGTCCATCACTTCAGCTCTTCCCGAATCACCTCTTATGTGTCCCTCTTGCTTCAGCTTCCTCCAAGAAATCTGTCATGTGGTTTGTGCCTTTAGCCGGTGTGTGTGTTGGTCTCATGTTGCACAGCCCAGCGTGTGTCCCCTTGGGTGATAAAGACTCTAATAAGCCACATTCTTTCTGATGACTTGGGAGGATAGAGCTGCATGTTAGTTTGATGGCTCATTCATTGTGGGTCAGGTGGGCAGAGAAGTTTTGAATGTGAACCAACATCACTGGCATGAAAGTGAGGATTTTAGGACTTTCCCCTCCTGGGTGTGAATCATGGTACCTTTTCTAGACATTCAGATGGGGAACATTAGCAGGAGATCTAGTCTCTTTACAAGCTTTATTTCGCTTTTTAATCCTCACCCGAGGGTACTTTTTTCTATTTATCTTCATATAGAGTGGGAGGGAGGGAGGAAGAGAAAGAGAGAGAGAGAGAGAGATACATTGATGTGAGAGAGACACATCAAGTGGTTGCCTCCTATACAATCCCGAATAGGGCCAAGGATTGAACTACAAATGAGGCATGTGCCCTTGACCGGATTTGAACCCTGGACTCTTTGTTCTGTGGGCGGACACTCTAGCTGCTGAGCTAAACCAGCCAGGGCTCTTATTAAGTTTCAAATGCACCACAATGTATTGTTATTATAAGCACAATATTGCACAGAAGATCTCTAAAACTTGTTTCTTTTGTATAATTGAAAGTTTCCCCATTGAACAACTACTCATTTCCCTCCTCCCGCCCCTGGAAACCACCATTTTATTTACTTCCAGGAATGTGACTCTCAGATGTCTCATGTGAGTAGATTTGTTCGGTGATTGTCCTTCTGTGACTGACTTATTTCACTTCACATAATATCTTCCAGGTCCATCCATGTTATCACAAATGGCAGAATTTCCTTTTCAAAGGCTGACATATAGACATGTTTATTAATGTATCTATATTAGCAATCAGAATTTAATGGCAATATTGGTTGGCAGTAAATGTGGACTTAGAGCCTGTGAAACACGTATGTCTTTTTCAGTACAAACTGCTTCACTCCTTGCAGATTTGCAGGGGATAGCTGTCGTCCAGCTGTTCCCAATCTGCTCTTCTACCTGATACCAGGAGTCACATGGCTCGGATTATTGTTGCTCTTCCTGGGAAGAGGTGCTGAAAGGCACTACCCCACTGGGGTGTATGGGTGGTTCAAGTCAATTCTCCCAAGTATATCTATGTTCCCAGTCCAACTCAGGTGCCATGTTGCATTAATAACTACTCATCTAGATCTCAGAAAGGCTCTGACATTTCATCCTGTGAGATTTCGTGTCTTGTGCAAGGATGTCTGAAGCTTTTCGAATCATGGTTTTGTCTTTCAACGTATTCACTCTCCCCTTACTTCATGGCCTCCAAATAATTTCATGAAAAGACTCTCATATTATATTTTCCATTTCCACATTTATGAGAAAGTGCTCAACCAAGTTGGGATGTCCTTGGCTCTGTTCTCAGGATGACTAATCCGAGAAGGCATGGCTACCCAGAACCATCGTACAGTGGAAACTGATACCTGTTTGGCAGGATATAATACAAAAACAGTTTTGATAGTATGTGTCTTTTTTTCCTGTGTTTTCTTAACTCCAAACAGTAAAATGTATATGAAGGCAACTGAACTCTCAGAACCTCTCATTTTTGAAACACTAGTCAGCTAGTCATATGGTTGCTGCACGTGAGAGATTGACTTTCCCCAAATTGCTGTAATGGGCTGATACAGGCTGAGTGGGTGTGTCACGGAGAGAATCATACTTGAGTCACCATGGTGAGTGTGGTTCATGGCATGCTGCCTCCACAGATAGTCAGTGGAGGGGTTGGACTATAAGCTGGGGTTACAGAGGAAGAATCAAGAAACAAGTGGAGGTAAGTGGATGAAGTGGGTTTGAGGATCCCTTACTACCTTAAGCAACTTGTAAGTCTAATAAAACCAAACTCCTTGTGTTGCTTTTAAAATTCCTGGCCAGTTTCCAGTTCTGCTCTGGCTCAAATTTCTAGATGGACCCAACCAGGATGATGACAACCTGGGCTCCTGATTGGACCTCTGCTGGGAGGTGTGGCTGGCGTTCTGAGTCTGCGTTGACATAACTCTGGTGAACCAGGCACATTTCATTGGGAAAGTCCCGAGCCTCCTTTCTGTCACAGGAAGGTGAGGGAACAAAAGCAGATTGCAAGTTGTTGTGGGGTAAAGGCTATAGAGAGCCCTATTATGGAATCTGAAGAAAATTCTAAGACTTCTGTGTGACCTTGAGTTTTGGGAAAGAATGTCCCAAGAAGTCCTGATGACAGACCTATTGATGAGTCAGTTCAGAGAATATTTGTCTTAATTGGCTATAATTTTTTCCTTCATGGTGTGTGTGTGTGTGTGTGTGTGTGTGTGTGTGTGTTGTTATTGTTGCTGCTGCTTAGGATAAGCTTAAGACTATGTTTGGAAATCCCTCCTGATTTCCTTTAGAACTTTAACAGTTTTGTTTTTATGTTGAGTTTTTCACTCTAATGAAGTTTGTTTTGGTTAAATGAATGAAGTAGTATCTCTGCTTTGTTTCCTTCTTTCTTTATCCTAAATTTAAGTAGCTGACATATACCATTTAAAAAATAATTCCTCCCTGACAGGGTGACTTTAAACTGACACTTTTTTTGGTACTTAATTCCTATAGGCTTTTGGGTCTCTTTCTGGACTCTGTTCAGCGGCACACCTCACTGTTTGAAAAGGCAGTTCTAAATCCTTAATTTATGACCGTTTCAAATTCAAAATTCTCTTTTCCTTCACTACACCTAGGTCTCCTTTCTGTCTCCTGTTTATGTTCATGTTTTTGCTTTGTAATTTATAATTGGTCTCAGACTTAGTCACGTAAAATCACATTTTTATTGTATTTATTGCTATAGGATATAGGAAATGTGCCTTTGTGCTCATCCAAAGAAGCATAGAATTGAAAATAAAACACCCTGCAATACATGTGCTAATGATAATCTTGCTGAGATAAATTATGACTTAGAAAAGTGATATGACCTCTTGGAAATTATTTTTCTCCACAGCTATATTTCTAGGTTACTTCTAAAACTACCAGTGCCCTCTAAATGTTTCACATAACTAAGTAGGCTATGGACATCAGTACAACCTGTGTCTCTATACTTCTTGCACCACATTTCGCCTGCTCCATGCCTGTCTGCAGTTCAGAATTTAACTGGGTTATAAACTGTGATTATCCAAAAATTACATTTAGATTTTCAAAAGAAATAGTGATTCTCTTGCAAGGAAGACTAAAATATCAGAACCCTTTAGTTATAGAAGAAAATAGTTAGGTTTATGATAAAAATTTAAAAGCCATAAAAGAAAAAGAAAAGAGATAAATTTACTATATCCAAGAGTATTAAAATCAGACAGCGTGCCTTGCACCTGCAAAGTAGCAGTATTTGCCTGCAAGTAGGAAGCCTCAATAAATATTTTCAAATAAGAAAGAAAGAAAGAAAGAAAGAAAGAAAGAAAGAAAGAAGGAAGGAAGGAAGGAAGGAAGGAAGGAAGGAAGGAAGGAAGGAAGGAAGGAAGGAACAGTTTAGCTTAACTTGAAGCAGCCCAGATGTCTTTCACAGGTAAATGGAAGAACACACAGACGGTGATACATCCATACTGTGGAATACTACTCAGCAATGAAAAGGAATACACTACTGATACACTGGACAGCTTGCATGATCTCAAGGAAAGGATGCTGAGTGTAAAGCCCATTACCAAGGATTACCTACTGTAAGATTCCATTTGTAGAATGCGCTTGAAATACAATTATGGAAATAGAGAACAAAGTAGTTGTTGCCAGGGGTTCTGGATGACGAGTGGGAGGGAGTGGGTGTGGCTGCAAAGGGATAAAATGTGGGAGACTTATGGAGACAGACAGCTCTGTATCCCGAGTGCAATGGTGTTTACACAGATCTGTACACATGACACAATTACATAACACTACACCAAGTGCAGGTAATACTGGTGGAATCTGAACAAGTTCTGTGGAGTGTACCAGTGTGAATTTCTAAATTTGATATGTACTATAATTATATAAAATGTGACTGTTGGAGGAGATTGGGTGGAGGGTACATGGGACTTCGTTGTACTGTTTTTTCCAACTTCCTGTGAATTCATAGTTAATTCAGAATAAAAAGTCAAATGAGACTAACTGGATATAACAGGGAGCGTGAGTTTATTTGTCTCATATGCTCCTTTATTTCATTGAATCTTTATGACAACTTTAATTTTTTTCCCTTTAATCCAGTTTATATGAGAAATAAGAGGTTCTTACAAATAGGATGGAAAATCTGAAAATCCTGGTCTGTTGCCTTGAAGTCAGAAACATATAGGTTTTTAAAAATTATTTTGTGTTAAGTGTAAGAGCACAACATAAAATATTCCCCTTAGAAAATTTTAAGTATACAACACAGTATTGTCAGCTCTATGCTCTATGCTGCATTATAGGTCTCCAGGACTGACCCCGCATCACTGAACTCGGTGCCCTTTAACCACATCTCATTTCCTCCTTCTCTTAGCCCCTGGCCACCTCTGCTGTGCTCTCTGCTTCAATGAGTTTGAGGATTTCAGATTCCACATATAAGTGAGATTATACTGTATTTGTCTTTCTGTATCTGGCTTATTTCACTTAGCATGACCATCCAGGTCCATCCATGTTGTTGCAAATGGCAGTATTTGCTTCCTTTTTATTGCTGTATACAAGGTATAGATATCACATTTTCTTTATCCATTCATCTGTTGATGGACACTTGGCTATTTTTATATCTTGGCTATTGAGAATAATGTTGCCATACATGGGAGTGCTGGTATCCCTTAGAGATTCTGATTTCAGTTCCTTCAGATAAATATCCAGAAATAGGGTTGCTGGATTCAGTGGTAGTTCTATTTACAATCCTCTGAGGAACCTTCTTACTATTTCCCGTAAGAGCTATACCAATGTACATTCTCACCAACAATGCACCAGGGTTTCCTTTTTCTCACATCCTTGTCACACTTGTATCTTTTGTTTTTATCTTAATGATGTACTATCTCATTATGGCTTTGATGTGCATTTCCATGATGATTGATAATATATGACAGTCTTGATAGGTGGGTATTGTGATGCTTTCTCTAGAGACAAGCAGTGTTAGGTTGAAAGAGTTTAAGTAGCATGTTTAAGACCACAGTTGGGTCCTGGCCGGTTTGGCTCAGCAATTCAAGCATCAGCACACAGACCAAAGAGTCCCAGGTTCGGTTCCTGCTAAGGGCATGTACCTCGGTTGCAGTTCATCCCCAGTCCCGGCCAGTAGGGGTCATGTGGGTGGCAACCACTCCATGTGTCTCTCTCATGTCGATGTTTCTCTCTCTGTCTTTCTCCCTCTCTCCCTCCTGCTCTATCGGAAGATAAATGCATAAAAATGTCCTCGAGTGAGGATTAAAAAACAAAACAAAACAAAACAAAAAACACAGTTGGTGTGCGATACAGTCAGAATTCAGATCTAACGTCAATTCCCAAGACCGGGGGCTACCTTCTATACTGAGCTGCCTCTACTTAGATTGGTTTAAATCAATGATGGATTATGGCTTCCTAAGGATGTTTTCTTTTTTGGTAGTAGTTGTAACCCGTAGCTCTCATATTACATGTGTTAAATGCCTCCCTTTAGCCCTTTTTCCATTTCTGTTGTGGGTCCCCCTGGGAACTCCTGTGTTGTGCAGAAAAGAAACAGCAATATCCATTAAACATTTCATTACTAAGAAATAATGGGAGATGAACAATTTTAGTGCCTTTGAATGCGAAAAGTTTTATTGGGGAACATCAAGCAATTCTACATGGAAATGGGTTCCACAGAAAAACATTAGAATGAAAATATCTATAAGGGGAACACTTGAAAACTCCTACATTTTGAATAAAAAGTATAAAACATTTTGAATCAAAATTGGAAAACATTTTGATGCAGAATCTGACTGTAAATTCTGATTAATCAGATGTTTCTACAAAAGAGAATAAAAATAATATAGAGGCCAGCGGTTTCCGAATCGGCCCATGGGTCTGTTGCAAGTTCATGACATCAGGAAGCGCCACGTGTTTTGTTGAGTGGGACACTCTCTCTGTGGACTAAAGGACTGGATCAAGGAAGTTCAAGTTCAGAGCAGGAAGCTCAGCAGCAAGAACCACCACAGCAGCTGGGGCGGCAGCAGGTTGTTTTACAGCAGGTGGTCTGGCAGCAGACTGGACGGCAGCAGCAGGGCCTGCAACAGATGAAACCACAGCAGCTGGGGCGGCAGCAGCTGGACACACAGCAGCTGGGGCGGCAGCAACAGGAACCACAGCAGCTGGGTCGGCAGCAACAGGAACCACAGCAGCTGGGGCGGCAGCAACAGGAACCACAGCAGCTGGGTCTGCAGCAGCTGGACACACAGCAGCTGGGGCGGCAGCAACAGGAACCACAGCAGCTGGGTCGGCAGCAACAGGAACCACAGCAGCTGGGTCGGCAGCAACAGGAACCACAGCAGCTGGGTCTGCAGCAGCTGGACACACAGCAGCTGGGGCGGCAGCAACAGGAACCACAGCAGCTGGGTCGGCAGCAACAGGAACCACAGCAGCTGGGTCTGCAGCAGCTGGACACACAGCAGCTGGGGCGGCAGCAACAGGAACCACAGCAGCTGGGACGGCAGCAGCTGGACACACAGCAGCTGGGTCTGCAGCAGGTCTCCTGGCCACAGCCTTGATTAGAGCACACGGATCCACAACAGGAGTTGACCATGTTGAACAGTGGCAGGGGGTGGATGTTCTGAGTGAGTTTCCAAGAGAGTGAGTTTCCTGAATCTCTTCCTCAGATCCCCTTTTATACCCCATTGAGGCAGATTTTTCCTTGATATTGTTTATCTTAATAGGTAAGTAATTATTCAATTAGATAATTATAACCACTTTTTTTCTTGCAAAATTAGATAGAATGCATTTTTCCTTTCTTCACTCAAATATTTTCTTCAAATCAATTCTGTTTCTTCCTCGTTCGTATCATCTAATTTTCAGGACTGCAGTTGTCTCCTCCAATTGGCTGGGATGGGACTGACCACTTGTTACTAAGAGTCCATATGTTTCTCTTTTCCATGACTCAACCTAGGCCGAAGCTGTGAGTCATGAGTTCAGGACACAGAGCAAATGGGACCGCAGCTGGGGAAAGTCGATGGAAATGACATATTTCCACTCAGAATGATATACTGAGGGATTCCGGGGAGGAGCAGGGCCCACCCCCGACTGCGCATGATTCCTGAGCAGTGAGGAAGGATATGACCCCAGGGGCAGACTGGTGCATGGGGAAAGGAGTCCAGGTAATGCACTTCGGCATGTTTCTTCATGTCATTACTGATTCTTATTGGCAGTATCGCTCTGTTTAGCACATGAAATTATCATATCTTTTCTTTATCATATTTCTTCTTTATGAAATAACCAAGTGACACAGCTTCCCAATAGTGATGCTTAGAAACTGCCTTAAGATGTTCTGGGAAGGTGCCCAGGGGAGCCCAGGGTCATGACCTTCTATGCCAACTCCTTGCTGGTGCAATTTCATCAGTAAGAATAAGCCTAAAATGAAATACGCTGAGACTTTGTCTTCTCAAGAAGATAGAATAGGAGCAGTTCTCTGTGGCATAATAAGCCTAGGTTTTTACAACAAAGGCTTAGTGACTTGGGAGCAAATGAGAATCGAAGACTTTGAATAGTCATGTGTACAAAGATGATATACAAATGGCTTATAAGCCCATGCAAAGTTGCTCAACATCATTAGTCACTAGAGAAATGTAAATAAAACCACAATATACCACCTTATCTCTACTAGGACTTCAGAGATAGGTGATAACAAGTGTTGGTAAGAATGTGCAGAAGTTGGTACCTTTACGTATTGCTGCTGGCATTATAAAATGGTGCACGGCTTTGGAAAACAGTTCGGCAATTTCTCAGAAACTTACCAGAGTTATCGTGCATAGAGACCCAGAAATTCACTCCTAGATACATACTGAAGAGAAATGAAAACATATGCCCCCACAAAAAGTTGTATACAAATATTCAAAGCAGAGGAAACAGCTCAAATGTCTATCAACTAATGACTGGATAAACAAAATATAGTATAATGGATATAATTGCTTGTAAATTTTTAATTGTGCTATTTTTATTTTTTAGTATTGAGCTGTAAGAACTCTTTATATATCCTGGATACAAGTTTATTCTCCTATATCCCTTCCTTATTTCCTTCTAATGTATTAAGTGGATATTTTCCAGTATAACATTTAAGTTCCTTTAGTGAATTATGTGAATACTAACTTTATACACATTATAATTTTGTTTATATAGTTGTAGTATATCTATGCAACAAATTATTTGCCAATAAAAAGGAATTACGTATCGACGCATGTTGCATTGTGGGTGAACCTTGAAAACAATACACTAAGTGAAAGAAGTCAGTCACCAAAGACCACATACTGTGTGAGTCCATGTATTTGGAATGTCCAGAGAGACAAATCTATGTAGAAAGTAGATCAGTAGTTGCCTACAGCTGGGGTGGAGGCTGGGGACATGGGGAGTGACTGCCTGATGGACATGAAGTATCTTTTCAGGGAGATGAGGGGTTCTAAAATCAGGTGTGATAATAGTCGCACAACCTGCTTAGATTCTAAAAACATCAAACTATACTTTAAAATGGGTGAACTCGATGGTTTTTAAATTACATCTCAATAAAGCTCTTTAAAAATCAAGGGTAGATATATTAGTTATCAGAATAAGTATGAATGGAATAAAATCTCAAGTTAAAAGACAGTGATGGCTCAGAATCAGACAAATATGCCCAACTGATTTTTTGACAAAGGATTACGTTGGATATCTATAAGCAAAAGAAGAAGAAAAAATTAAAACCTCAACCTAAGTCTCATGCCTTATAAAAAGATTAATTCAAAATGCATCACAAACTTAAATGTAAAACTATAAAACGTTTAGGAGAAAACATAGGGGAAAAAATCCTTAGGATCTTGGACTAGGCTAAGAGTTCTTACTGTTGACATCAAAAGTAAAATCCATAAAAGGAAAAATTGCTAAACTGAATTTCATTGAAATTAAAATTTTTGATCTGCAAGATGTGCTATTAAAAGGATGAAAAGACAAGATACAGATTGGGAGAAAATATTTAAAACCGACATATCTGACAGAGCACTAGTATCTAGAATAAATAAAGAACTCTCAAATGCAACAGAAAAAAAAAAAAATGCAACAGAAAAAAAAGTAAACAGTCAAATCAGAGCATGAGTAATTCGTGGAGAGACATTTCACTGAAGAAGATGATGGCAAACAAGCGCACAAAAAGATGTTCAATATCATTAGCCATTGGAGAAATGCAAATTAAAGCCACAATGACATATCACTATAAACCTATCATAGTGGCTGAAATGAAAGATAGGTAACACGAAATGCTGGTGAGGATGTGGAGAAACGACATCAAGGTATAATGCTGGTGCAAATATAAAATGACACAGCCGTTCTAGAAAAACACTTTGCCAGGTGCTTTAAAAACGAAACATTCTATTAAAAAAAAAAAAAATCAAAAACGAAACATGCAACTGCCGTATAACCTAGAACTGCGATCTTGGGCATTTCTACCAGAGAAATAAGACTTTGTCCAGACAATTACCTGTTCGTGAATATTTATAGCAATTTTATCCATAATAGCCAAAGCATAGTAACAACCCAGATATCCTTCAATGAATGAGTGGTTAACTGTGGCACACTCGTACAACGGAATACTACTCAACAACCTGGATGACGCAACAGAAATCATGATGATGAAAAGGCCGTTACCCATAAGCTGCGCCTGCAAACGCGGGCTTCTCCACCTTCTCAGCTGCGGCGCCGCGGCCGCACAGGCACCGCGAAGCCTTGGAGGGCTTCATTCAGAGCGCGCGAAGCTGGATCAGGGGCCGCCTTGTTGCCAGCGAAAGAAAGGGCTCTTTCTTTTTAAAAGTTACTCAAATGTGGAAATTGCTAAGTGTTCAAATAATATGCACCTTATTTTGCTTTGCCCCACTGACACATGTGATGAGTCATTGTCCCTTTTGTTCCTCCATTTAATACACTCCTTGGCATTTGTAGTTTTAAACTGCAATTCAAAGCAAACTATTTTAGTTGTCAGGTGAACTGCTGTTTCCTTACCAGTAAATGTAAATAGTGTCCCCAGGGCAGGCTTGCTCTCGGGTCAGCCAGCAAACCTGGAGCCCCGTGTGGAAAAGATCACGTCAGTTATAGTTGAGCGTGGTCCCTGCTGCAGAAATGAGTACCCGTGTGGAGTTGCTGATCTATCTAGTAAAATGATTCTATTGTTGAATTTTGTGCAACACAGATGAAAACCTTGGTAACTAATTCAAAATGTGTTAAAATATGGTTTGAAGTCATCATCTCTGTTTCATCAACAACATGTTGTATCTTCGGAAATGCATTCCAATATAAGGAGCATAGAAGGAAAAAGTAGTTGTGACAATGGTTCTGGCCTCTTCTCCAATGCAGCACGTGACCAGAGGATGTACTCTGTCTTAAAAAAAAAATGATTGTTAGTAATTCCTTTGATGTTGACTATCTCTCCCATTTCCGGAAATAAGTTCTTACAGGTCATCTATTAATTAAGAGGGGGAAAATCAATCATTTATTTTCAGAAAATCCATAGTACTTAGGGAACCCTTCCTCCTTGGGCAATTATCTATGGATCATAAAAAAATATGTCCGATGCCCTGGCTCAGCGGTGAGAGCATTGGCCTGCGGTCCAGAGAGACCCAGATTCGGTTCCCGCTAAGGGCACGTACTTAGGTTGCAGTTTGTCCCTGGCCCTGGTTGGGTCGTGCGGGTGGCAGCCACTCGATGGGTCCCTTTCACGTCGATGATTCTCTCTCTCTCTCTCCCTCCCACTCTATCTGAACAAGAAATGAAAAAATGTCCTCAGGTGAGGATTAAAAAAAAATGTCAGAAATAATAACCAGGGAAGTTTTGTTCATTGGTCCCAAATTTGGGAACCAGTGTATGGTGATCTTGTAGAGGAGATTTTACCTTCAGAGAATTATTTTCTGCTCAGAAGCCCACCTTTTACACCTGATGCCATGACCCACTCATGCTGCTCCCCTTGCTGCCAGCCCACCTGCTGTAGGACCACCTGCCACCAGCCCACTTGCTGTGGGTCCAGCTGTTGTGGGTCAGGCTGCTGCCAGCCTTGCTGCTGCCCAACCTCTTGTCAGTCCACCTGCTGCTGCTGCCCTTGCTGTGCGTCCAGCTGCTGCCTGCCTTCCTGCTGCCGACCGACTTGCCCACCAGAGACAAGACATATTCCATCCACCATTTTGCCAACGTTTCTGTTCCTGCAAGACACTTGCGTCCTAAGCTCTGCACCGTGACTGGGGCAACCTGTGAGCAGAAAGAAATGTGAGTGTGATTGGTATTGCTGGCCCTCCCCTTGCCTAGAATAGGCATTGGGATTATTTCATTTATCCCAAAAGAAATTGGGATTCATATTCACCCTTGCCAAGCACCCCAGCTCAGGCCATATTTCCTAAGCTCCCCAATGTTGAGGCAATTTGATCCGGACATTGCTGAAGAAAGATACCTTTCTAGAGTCCTGAGAACTGAGGTCACCATGCACTGGGCATGTAACCCTTGGATCCAATCATAATCTCTAGGCCATAAAAGGAAACAGTACAACTCCCCATGTTCTCTGAGATGAAGACTCATAAGCTAGTGGAAATAAAAATCAGAGTTTTCAGGAAAAAGAAACCAGGAAGGATGCACTATTCAAAGTCAAGATGGGCAGTAGGTTGTTTTCCAAACTAAGGAAACCTGGGTCTTAGGTTGAAAAGTAACAAAGAGAATCGCTGTATTAGCTAGTGAGGGTTAATACAGCTCTGGGAGGAAAACAAGAAGTTTTTTTCATGCTCACCTCTTAAGAGATGCGAAGATGCTTTGGGTTAGTTGGCACACTGGTTGTGACAGAAAGTGTGATCTGTCCAGAGCAGTGGTTCTCAACCTTCCTAATGCCACGACCCTTTAATACAGTTCCTCATGTTGTGGTGACCCCCAACCATACAATTTTTTTTGTTGCTACTTCATAACTGTAATTTTGCTAGTTATGAATCACCATTGGAAATATATGTTTTCCGATGGTCTTAGGCTACCCCGTGAAAGGGTTGTTCGACTCCCAAAGAGGTCGCGACCCACAGGTTGAGAACCGGTGGTCTGGAGGCTGTACCTGGAATTCTCGGCCAGGTTACTAAACTTTCCAACATAGAAAATAGGTGGGAAGAATTACTGACATTTGTTGAAGATCCTACTATATGCTAAAATTGAGCTAGATGATTTCTCTACATTATCTCTCATTCTCATGCAGCCTGAAAAGTGGGTGTGCCTCCCCCATATAAGACCTGAGGAAATCAGTGTTGAGGGAAGCAAAGTAACTTGCATGGAATCGCATGAACCATCTGACTTCAAAATTAAAGCTGTTTTGTAGGGGGCACTGGTGAAATATTAAAGATATAGACCAATTTAACAAAATTAAGCTCCAGAAATAGGTTCAGACATACATTATGCATTTATTTTTTGAAAAGTTGTCAAATTAATATGCAGAAAAAGTGTAATCTTTTGACCAAATGGGTTGGAACAGCTAAATATCCATGTGCAAAAAAAATAAATAAAATAAATACTTGGGTCCATACTTCACATTTTATACAAAACCAACTCAAAATGGATCATATATCTAAATGTAAAGCTTACAACTGTGGAACTTCTAGAGGTAAACCTAGGAAAATTTGTATAGAACGTCTAGCTCCCACCTCACCCCATTACCGAGCCTACCTGTGTGTGGGCCGGTTTGGTAAAGTCTCTGCTAGTTTGCATCATCTGCTGTCTGTACTAGTTCCCTCCCAGACTATGCATCTGTTCATCTGCAACCACATGTTCTCTATTGTGGAAAGAAGACAACAGATCTTGGTTATGGGACTTAAAATCACATGGAAGAGTCCTTAAATTCCCGTTCTGCTACTCAGTAACCGTATTTGGAGAAAAAGACAGGATGTATGTATGCACCCTTATGAAAGTGTCCCATACACAGGGCCATCCTCCTTTTGTGTATTTCTTTCTTTTTCCCACCTCCCCCCATGGGTTCCCGTGGAATTGTTTATTCCCCCCCTTTACTGTACCAGCCAGTCTGTGGGCAGATACCTTCATAAGAGATCATGATTCTTATATTTTCAAGGGATAACACAAAACAACTTTTATTCATAATTTGTAATAGTAAAGAATAGTTTATTTGCCTTTTCTTTTTCCTCCATAGTTGGGGTTTGCCTCTCTTGTTTACGCCCACGTCCCTAACTCAGCATAAGCTGTGTCTCACATTCGCAGACGAGACCCCCAGAGGGAGGCACTGACCAGGAGCTGTAGCACACCCAGAGTTCCGGGCGGACGGACGTGACTGAAGAACGCGTGTTTGTTCACAGCTCCGTCTATTCCTGCAGAAACCTGATGGACTCTGACACCTGACCATGAAAGTCCCTAAGTTTTATCACCGGATAGCCCCAGTAGCAGCCATTATACCACACATGGGATGTTTACTAAACTAGATCAACAGCTCCTGGCCTGAAAAGGACGTGAAAATACTCCCAGCGAAGAGAACTGTGAGCGGGACACCTGGTCACACATTTTGTTTAGAAGAAAAGTGGACGGGGGATTGATGACGTGGGCTGGTGGCAAGTGGCGAGAGCATGGTTGATTGATCAGGGACCTGTAAGGAGCAAGCGTGAGAGATCAGAGACGCAGAGACCTGGAAAAGAAGCATGCAGATGTAACCAGGCATGTGGACAGAAAGTGTTCCCTCTGGGGTGCCACATCCATGCCTGCCAGAGAGTATCGCCGCTTGGGAGGCACTGGGCAATCAGGAGTTTGGAATGACTCATGTCGTCTCTTTCCTCGGCTGCCCCAGCATGTGCATGATAGACCAGGCGACGCCGTCACAGCGGCCGGTGCGAGGCTTTGCACGGAACCAGCAGCGTGGGCTCTGTCTCACGCTGCCTCTACCCACAGTGCTGCCAGCAGCAGGGACAGACGTCAAGCCCTTAGGATGGTAACATCCCTCATTAAAAACTACCTGAAGCAAGTTGGCTGAAAGTTGGGGATCACGATATAGGGTCTGTGTTTTGCAGGGACTTACTCAATTCCTCTGTGTTCTGAAATCGGTACTCGGGAGGAGGAGACCATGCAGGAATTGTATTCGCAGGATGCCGAGAACAAGTCCTGATCAACAACCACGGATGCTCCAAACTGCTTGGTGCAGATGGATTGTATGAGGGGCTGGTCGGAGCCGGAGACACGTTCCCCGCATTCACGAGGACTCTCAGATGCCGCCGCGTTCCCCTCACTGAAATGCACTGCTGTCCTCACTGAAACGGCGCCTGCTCAGCGATGCGGGAGCACATCTGTAACACAAAGGTGATCTGTGTGCAAGAGATTAGCACTTCCATCGGTACAGGAGAAACTCGAGTGCACGTGCTGCGGTGTGCAGTCCCGGTCTCCTCTCTGCTTGTCCCGACATGTAGATGTAGTGTCCTTGAGAGGAGCAGGGCCCCCTTCCACTGGGGCTGTGTGTTTAGCTGCGTGACACGGAGAAATGTCCTCATCTGAAAAAGTGGAGAATGTGACTCGGAAGTGGCCGTGAGGCTCAGAATGGGACAGCATGTGGTGTGCAGTAGGCATCGAGGTCTCCGTATCAGGAATGCTGTGGAATCAGACACACTCGGGAGGCGCTGCACATCTGGGGTGCACGAAACGCACTCATGATCAATAAGATGCAAGAAAAGAATCAGGTGAAGTCCTCCGCACTCTGTCAGACTGATTGACAGGCTTTTAAACTGGCAGACGACTCACAAAAATTTTCGAGACCACGTGCTGGCTTTCAGCAACATTTGAAACTGAATTTGTTTCCAAAATTGCAAGTCAGTTAACAGAAGGTGTTGTGTGCACATGGTGTTTCTTGAGTCAGGGCAATCACCAACTGCCAGGCTGGCAGGAGCTGGACACACAACAGCTGGACCCACAACAAGTGTTTCCTTAGGAGGTCCTGGTATTATGAATTACTCACAGTCATACGTGCCTATTGCTTAGTTCCTCCATTCCCAACTTTGTCTTAACTGAATTCTCTTAATAATATTTTGGTCAGAATGACAAATTGCTTTAAAATTGGGGAACATAAAATGCTGTGCAGGAAATTATTTAATTTCTTTTTATTCTTGTCAATAGATACTAGAGAGAAAAAAGCCATACAAGAATTTGATGTACATGATAGCAAAGAACAAGTTTGTTTGTTGTTTGTTTGTTTTTATTTATTTTAATTCCTCACCCGAGGATACATTTTTTCATTTTTATCTTCAGATAGAGTGGGGGGCAGAGAGAGAGAGAGAGAGAGAGGGAGAGAGAGAGAGATGAGAAATAACATAGATTGGCTGCCTCCTGCATGCCCTCTACTGGGGATTTGGCCCACAACCTGGGCATGTGCCCTGAGCAGGAATTGAACCAGCAACCTCTTGGTGCACGGGTCGATGCTCAACCACTGAGCCACACCAGCCGGATGACTCAGAACATTAAAAAAGGTGGAAGAGTCACAGAAATTAGGATCCCGCGTGCTGGTGTCAGCAAAATCTGGGAAGAAATTTTGATTCCCCCCATCAGAAAGTCAGTTAACAAAAAGGTTTATGTGGATGGTGGTTGTCTGGCAAGGTGATCAACAGCAGCAGGTCTGGACACAGCCGCATCGGCAGCCATAGGTGATGAAACGAGGCACGCAGCAGCAGGTGGGGTGGTAGCAGGTTCTGTAGACATGCACAGGACAGCAGCAGACTGGCTGGCAGTAGCTGGACCCACAACAGCTGGACCCACAGCAGCTGGACCCGCAGCAGCTGGACCCACAGCAGCTGGACCCACAGCAGCTGGGCTGGCAGCAGGGAGTGCTACAGCAGCAAGGCTAGCAGCAGCTGGACACGCAGCATGGGCGGCAGCAGGGCTGGCAGCAGCTGGACACACAGCATGGGCGGCAGCAGCAGCAGGGCCGGCAGCAGCTGGACACACAGCATGGGCGGCAGCAGCAACAGGGCCGGCAACAGCTAGACACGCAGCATGGGCGGCAGCAGGGCTGGCAACAGATGGACACACAGCATGGGCGGCAGCAGGGCTGGCAACAGCTGGACACACAGCATGGGCGGCAGCAGCAGCAGGGCTGGCAGCAGCAGGACCCGCCACAGCTGGACCCGCAGCAGCTGGGTTGGCAGCAGGGAGTGCTACAGCAGCAGGGCCGGCAGCAGCTGGACACGCAGCATGGGCGGCAGCAGCAGCAGGGCCGGCAGCAGCTGGACACGCAGCATGGGCGGCAGCAGCAGCAGGGCCGGCAGCAGCTGGGCACGCAACAAGGGCGGCAGCAGCAGCTGGGTTGGCAACAGGTGGTCCTGCAGCAGGTGGTCTGACAGCAGCAAGGGGAGCAGCACATTGTGTCAGGTCTGGAGGGTGGGTTCCTGTTCAGAGGTGAGTTTCCCAGGTTCTGATGATGTCTTCTGTGCAGAGGCTTTTATACTCTGGACCCCCAATGTTGGGACCAATAAGCAGGACTTTCTTTGTTGTTGTTGTTTACCTTGTGTTTGTAGTCACAGGGAAATTGTCCAGGAGGAAGTTGTTCCCTTGGTGTTTTGAGGGTTCTATAAATTACTGTTTGATCTTTCCTTAATTGGGAATACTACTTAATAATCTTTCCCAGAAATGAGACTCTCACGAATCCTCCCCAGCAGCATTTCTGGTCATGTGACATCATCTGGTCCTGTATTACTTCCTGCTGGTTTGAAGAAGGTCAGAGCCGCGGTCTCTCCTCAGGTTTGTTCCTTTGGCCACCTGTAGACTGGGAGATGTCCTGAGCGGCCAGGGGTTGATGGGTTCTGTGATGAATGAAGCCCTGCTTGAGTGTACGTCTGAGGTCCCAGAAGGTCAGGTCAAGGCTGTGGCCTGTACCTATCTGAGGCCTCCTACTGGAACGTGTCCCAGTTCCCTCGGAGACACCTGGGTAGAGGACGGTTGGCTCTTGGCTTTTGTAACGCAAATCAGCCCCCAAACAGGAGAGGAGAGGCAGAAGCTGTCCCAGGGTTTCAGAGCATCAGTCCATTCTTGTTCCATCTCTGTTATCTCACTGGGTCGGTTTCTCAGGTGAGAGATCTCATTTTACACATACTATCTTTTATAAACTGAGCCCAGCAGGTGAGCTAAGATGCCAGCCAGGGAATATTTATTTATTTATTTATTTATTTATTTATTTTTAATCCTCACCCGAGGATATTTTTCCATTGATTTTTAGATAGAGTGGGATGAAGAGAGAAAGAAACATCAATGTGAGAGAGACACATTGATTGACTGACTACCACATGACATGGACCAGGGATAGGAATTGAACCTGCAACTCCTCGGTTGTCCTCAGGCCGATGCTCTAACTGCTGAGCCAAACCGGCCAGGGCAAGGTATATTTAAATATGTAAATGTATATATTTCAACAAATGTGGAAAATTACCAGCCATCAATTTTTTTTTAATCCTCACCCGAGGACATTTTTCTATTTTTTTGTTCAGATAGAGTGGGAGGGAGAGAGAGGAAAAGAGAGAGAGAGAGAGAGAAACATCGATGGTCAGGGACAAACTGCAACCGAGGTACATGCCCTTAGCGGGAACCGAACCCGGGTCTCTCTGGACCGCAGGCCGACACTCTAACCACTGAGCCAAACCAGCCAGGGCCAGCCATCAATTTTTTAAAGTTATCTTTATTGTTGAAAGTATTACAGATATCCCTCCTCTTTTCCCCATGGACTCCTTCCTCCCCACTCTTGCCACCCCTCCCCCACCTTCACTGCTCTGTTGTCTGTATCCACTGACTATGCACATATGCATGTAAGTTCTTTGGTTTATCTCTTGCTGTCCTCATCTCTCCCCTTCCCTCTAAGGTCCATCAGTCTGTTTCCTACTTCCCTGTCTCTGGGTCGATTTTGTTCATCAGCTTATTTAGTTCATTATGTTCCACAAATTAGTGAGATCATGTGGTATTTGTCGTTCTTTGATTGGCTTATTTCACTTAGCACAGTACTCTCCAGGTCTCTTCATGTCGTCTCAAAATTTTAAAATGTTTTTCTGCCCCATCTCTTCCTGTTCTACGTGCATCTGTAGGAGTGAACTTGCTGGGTCACAGGGAGCACACTGGGGAGTGTAGAAAGAATTCAGCAGTTTCTGCCTTTCACTGGTGTCTCCTGCTCTCCCTGACAGCGTGAGCCTTTTGAACCCTCACTGGATATATCGAAGCTTGAGGTTTTTTTTCCATTGAGGTATAATTGAAGTATAACCGTGTCTTAATTTCAGGTGTGGAACATACTGACTTGATATTTGTATGTATTGCAAAGGGATCACCACAGTAAGTCTAGTTAACATCGGTGTCCTCTTAGCAACTTTCAAATATGCAGTGCAGTACTATTTAACATAGTCAGCATTTTGTACATTACATCCCCGTGACTAATTCATTTCATGACTGGGATTTTGTATCTCATGACCTTCTTCACCCCCGTTGCCCCCCTGTACACCCCACCACTGGCTACCACCCATGTGTTCTCTACCTATAAGCTCAGCTTTGGTTTTTTACATTCCATATATAAGACAGATTGCATGCTATTTGTCTTTCTCTGTCTGATATGCATCATTTAGCATAATGCCCTTAAAGTCTAGATGTCCCAGATGAAAAGTTTTTCTTTTTTTTAATGTTTGAATAATATTTCTTTTCATATTTTCTACATCCATTCATACATCAGTGGACATTTGGTGGTTTTCATATCTTGGCTATTGTAAAGACTGCTGCAGTGACCATGGAATGCAGATAGCTTTTCAAGTTGGCGTTTTTGTTTTCTTCAGATTTATTCTTCAGGTAAATACCCAGAAGTGAGATTCCTGGATCATATGGTAATTCTGTTTTTTAAAATTTGAGGAAGCTCTACACTGTGTTCCACAGTGGCTGCACCAATTTACATTCCCACTATCAGTGCACAAGAGTTCTCCTTCATCACCAACACTTGTTACCCCCTGTCTTTATTATTATTATTATTATTATTATTATTATCATTATCATTATAAGAGTTGTGAGGTGATATCTCATTGTGGTTTTAATTTGCATTTCCCTGATGATTAATGGTGTTGAGCATCTTTTCATGTACCTTTAGCCAATTGTATGTCTTCTTGGGCAAAATGTCTATTTAGATCCTCTGCCACCTTTTAATTAAATTGTTTGTTTTCTATCATTGTATAAGATTTTTATATATTCTGAATATTAACCTCTTATCAGTATATGATTTGCAAATGTATTCTCCCATTCAATAGGTTGCCTTTTCATTGTGTTGATGTTTTCCTTTGCTGTGTAGAAGCTTTTTAGTTTGATGTAGTTCCATTTGTTTATTTTGTTGCCTTTGCTTTTGATATTATATCTAAGAAAAACATTTGCAGGATTGGCGTTAAGGGGCTTATTGCCTGTTTTCTCTTTGGAGTTTGATGATTTCTGGCATTACATGCAAATCCTTAATCCATTTTTAGTTAATTTTTTGTATAGTTCATACTAGTGGTCCAGTAACATTCTTTTGCATGTTTTCTAACACCATTTATTGAAAAGACTGTCTTTTCCCCATTATGTGTTATTGGCTCCTTTGTCATAACTATATGAACCATATATGTGTGGAATTGTTTCTTAGCTCTGAATTCTGTTTCCATGATCTGTGTGTCTGTGTTTATGCCAATACAATGCTGTTTTGATTACTATAGATGTGTAATCTAGTTTGAAATCAGGGAGCATGATGCCTCCAGATTTGCTCTAGTTTCTTAAGATGGCTTTAGCTCCAAATCTGGATTTTTGTGGTTTCATATACATTTTAGTATTGTATTTTCTCTTTCTGTGAAAAATGCCATTGGGATTTTCATAGGGATTGCATTGAATCTGTAGATGGCTTTGAGTAGTATGGGTATTTTAACAATACTAATTTTTTAAATCCATGAGTGCAGAATATCTTTCCATGATTTGTGTCCCTTCAATTTCTTTTGTATATGTCTCTTAGTTTTCAGTGTACATGTCTTTTACCAACTTGATTAAATTTATTCGTAGACATTTTAGTCTCTTTGATGCAATTATAAATGGAATTATTACCTTAATTTTTCCTTCTGATAGTTGATGATAGGTGTGTAGAAACACAACAGATTTTTGTATGTTGATTTTGTATCTTACAACTTTTCTTAATTTGTTGATTAGTTCTGTGGATAGTCACATTCCACTTTTACAACTTCTTCAGTAAAAGGTTTATCTTTACCTTAAGCAAGCCCTACTCATTGTTCTCGTGCGTGTAATTAGCATACCTTTGAAATGCCGGAGTAAGCCCCCTTTTTAGACCCCTTGGAGACCACCCTCAAGCAAGCACATAATCTTAAAGATCCTGTATTCTGACCACAGAGATTTCCCCAACTTGCTTTCTCCCAACTTCGTATAATTGTCCCTAAATTCCCTCCTTAATTCCAAATAACTATAGGTGTCATTGTGCAGAGCGTTTGAGATCTTGCTTCCCAGCATGGTCATTAATTTGGCTCAAATAAACTCTTAAAAGTTTCTCTACAGGTTTGGATATTCTTACGTCAATAGTTATAACTTTTTTTTGGTGGTGTCTTTGGGTTTTTCTATATATAATATGTCATCTGCAAACAGTTTTCTTTCTTCCTGTCTGATGTGGATGCCTTTATTTTTTAAACTTTAAGTTTTTGTGGGGTTTTTTTAACTAATTGCTCTAAGACTTGCAAAACTAAGCTGAATAAAAGTGGCGAGAGTGGGCATTCTTATCTTGATCCTGATCTTAGCTTTTCACCAGTATGACATTAGCTGTGTGCCTGTCATATGTGGCCTTTATTATGTTGAGGTACGTTCCCTCTGACCCATTTTGTCGAGACTTTTTAGTAAAATTGGGTGTTGAATTTTGTCCAGTCCTTTGTCTATTGAGGTGACCCTATATGATTTTGTACTTCATTTGGTGTATGTGCTGTCACCCTGATTTGCAGATACGTAGTGTACTATCTTTGCATTCCTGGAGTAAATGCCACTTGATCGTGGTGTTTGATCTTTTTAATGTGCTGTTGAATTCTGTTAGTTAAGGTTTTCTTAAGGATTTTGCATCTTTGTTCATCAGGGATGTTTGCCTGTAATTTTCCTCTCTTGTGGTGTCCCTGTATGGTTTTGGTAGCGAGGTAATACTGACCTCGGAAAATGGTTTTAGAAGTGTTCCCTCCTCTACTTTGTGAAAGAGTTTGAGAAAGATTGGTATTAATTCTTATTTAAATACTTGGAGGGATTTGATAGGGAAGCCATCTGCTCCTGGACCTTTGTTTGTTGGGAGGTTTTTGATTATAGATTCAATCATGTTACAAGTAAACACTCTGTTTAAATTTTGTATTTATTTATGATTTTGTCTTGGTAGGTTTATGTTACTAGAAATGTATCTATAGCTTCCACATCGTCCAATTTGTTGGCATAGAATTGTCTGTAGAATTCTCTTATGATCTTTGTATTTCTGTATTACTTAAAAATTTTCCTCTTTCACCCTGGCCGGTTTGGCTCAGCGGTTAGAGCGTCAGCCTGTGGTCCAGAGATACCCAGGTTCGGTTCCCGCTAAGGGCATGTACCTCAGTTGCAGTTTGTCCCTGGCCCTGGTTGGCTGTGCGGGTGGCAGCCACTCGATGTGTCCCTTTCACGTCAATGTTCTCTCTCTCTCTCTCTCTCTCTCCCTCTCTTTCTCTCCCACTCTATCTGAACAAAAAATGGAAAAATGTCCTTGGGTGAGGATTAAAAAAAAAAAAGTTTCCTCTTTCATTTCTGATTTTATTTGTCTCTTCTCTTGATTTTTCTTGCTGAGTTTAGCATGTTAATTTTGTTGATCTTTCAAAAAACCAACGCATAGTTTCCCTGATCTTTTCTCTTGTTTTTTAGCCACTGTTTTGTTTATTTCACTCTGATCTTTGTAACGTTCTTCCTGTTAGTAAGATTGGGTCTCCCTTGTTCCTCTTCTAGTTCCTGGAGGTGTACTTTCTTCCTATTTCTGTCCTCCCTACTCTTCCTCTGCCTCCTGTTCTTTACATTTTATAATTTTTTTAAATATGTTTTTATTTATTGTTTTAGAGAGAGAGGAAGGGAGACAGAGATAGAAACATCGAGGAGAGAGAGAGAAACATCGATCGGCTGCCCGCTGGGGATCAAGCCTGAAACTCGGGCGTGTGCCCCGACCAGGAATCCACCCAGCACCTCTCAGTCCATGGGACGACGCTCAGTCCACTGAGCCACACTGGCCAGGCCTGTTCTTTCCATTTTAGAAAGTGTGGCTGTCCACCACCTTGAAGCAGCAGAGATTGGCCCAACAGGACCAAGGGCAGATAATACATAAAGTTTTCAATCCCTCGCTGCTCTGGACTGAATGTTTGTCTCCTCCCAAAATTCCTATATGGAAACCATGATCCCCAGTGTGTTGGCATCTGAAGTGGGCTCTTTGCGGTTTGGATAAGGTTACGAGGACAAGCCCCCCACCCCATGAGACCAGAGCACCCCCACCTCTGCCATTGGAGGATACAGCGATAAACCGACCATCTGCAAACCAGGAGGTCCTTCAACCGGACTCCTAACCTGCCAGCACCTGGATCTTGGACTGCACCGCCTGCAGAACTCGGAGAAATGAGTCTGCTGTTTGAACCACCCACTCTGCCGTCGTTTGTTATCACACCACAGACTCACCGAGACAGCCACCCACACGTCTTGGACTTAGTGTGCTCAGACCAGTTTCCTTCTGCCCTGGGAGCTTTTATGTTTGGGGCTCTCTCCATGCAGCCGCAGAAAGGCATGCTGTCCGTGCCTGTCGCCTACGGAAACATCCATCTGGTTCTGCAGACCTTTTAATAAAGACTTCAGCTCCTTGTTCATCAAGTAGGACAATCCCAAAGTACATGTTTGAAGCATTTCTGAATGTTTCCCCTGAAGTTTAAGCTTTACTTGCAAGCTGTGATACCGGCTTCACGCGACCTCTGCCTGCATCATTGGCTCAGTCCTCTGCCCGCGTGAGCTGCGCGTCGAAATAAACCGTGTTCACTGGGATCTTTTCTCGGGATGTATTTTCTGAGAAAGGCACACTATGACTTTAACTTACCTCTCTCAGTCTTAATTTCTTCTTCTCTAAAATGAGAACAGAGGTACCACTCTTGAAATCTTTTTCAAGAATTAAAAATGTGGACATCAAATATTTCATGAGTATCTAGCAAATAGTAGGTGATCCAGAACATGCTACTTCTTCATCTCAGTCACCCAAATAAGCAAGAGCCGGCAGTCAGCAGGTTGGGTCTTGGCAGGCTCTTCGGAACAGGTCAGATACACAGTCCCAGACGTTGGCATGTGTCCTTGACAAGGACCCCGTGAGGGTCTCAAAGGTCCCTCTGTTACCATCTAGGGGTTAGGCCAGATCCCAACGCTTACATTCCTTTCAGACGCAGAATGAAGCCTGAACTCACTGGATGATGCAGCAGCACCACTGCCCAGGGCAAAAAGTGCCGGCTTCTGTCTCATGACTCCTGTGAGCCCACAGAATCTTCTCCTTTTCTTCTTTCTCAAAGTCCTCAGAGTCCCTTCAAATCACAAGTTTTCTGTTTCCTCAGATGTCTCATAGTCGCCTCACAAAAACTAAATAAATGAAACAAGCGGTTCTTCTGTTCCCTTATAGGCATCAAAGGTTATGGGTTGCTAACATTCATAAATTCATTGTGTTGTTTCTCAATTCCTGATTTTCTTCTCACTCGATTAAAAAACAAAACAAAAACAAAAACATCATTTGGTCCAAGAGGTCAAATTGCCATACATTGGAGGAATATTATATATAGTTGATTTGGGCGGGGGGTCACTTAATTCCCTGCTCGGCTGATAGATACTCAGGAGAAGGAGTATTTAATTGAGGAGAACTTAGTCTGATGGGACTGCCATGAGGACACAGGATGCTAACAGTCACTGGATGCAGATGAGCCGCACCTGAGACTAGAAAGCTCCCTGCACTCTGGAGAGCTGCCCCGGCCCCTGCTGCCCCTGTTCCCTGCTGCCCCTGCCCCTGCTGCCCCTGCTCCCTGCTGCCCTGCTGCCCCTGCTCCCTGCTGTCCCTGCTCCCTGCTCCCTGCTGCCCCTGCTCCCTGCTGCCCCTGCTCCCTGCTCCCTGCTGCCCCTGCTCCCTGCTGCCCCTGCTCCCTGCTGCCCCTGCTCCCTGCTGCCCCTGCTCCCTGCTCCCTGCTGCCCCTGCTGCCCCTGCTCCCTGCTCCCTGCTCCCTGCTCCCTGCTGCCCCTGCTCCCTGCTGCCCCTGCTCCCTGCTGCCCCTGCTGCCCTGCTCACTGCGTGCCTGCTCCCTGCTGCCCCTTGCTTCCCTGCTGCCCCTGCTGCCATGCTCCCTGCTGCCCCTGCTCCTGCTGCCCCTGCTCCCCTGCTGGCCCCTGCTCCCCTGCTACCCCTGCTGCTGCCCCGGCTCCCTGCTGCCCTGCGCCCTGCCTGCTCCCTGCTGCCCCTGCTGCCCCTGCCCCTGCTGCCCCTGCTCCCTGCTGCCCCTGCTCCCTGCTGCCCCTGCTCCCTGCTGCCCCTGCTCCCTGCTACCCCTGCTGCCCCTGCCCCTGCTGCCCCTGCCCCTGCTGCCCCTGCTCCCTGCTCCCTGCTGCCGCTGCTGCCCCTGCCCCTGCTGCCCCTGCTGCCCCTGCCCCTGCTGCCCCTGCTCCCTGCTGCCCCTGCTCCCTGCTGCCCCTGCTGCCCCTGCTGCCCCTGCTCCCTGCTGCCCCTGCTCCCTGCTGCCCCTGCTGCCATGGCGTACAGCTGCAGGTGTGGAGGTGTGGGGACCGACTTGGGAGGAGTGTCGTAAACAGACATTGTCTGTACAGAGGAGGGACTATTCCTGCCCTTGCTGAGGGAGAACATCAGTTGCACATCTCACTAGTCCTCAGTACTCGGAATCAGTGCTGCTTGTATTGACACGTGAAAGTGGGGTCCTTGAGCGGGAGCAGGGGTCCCTGTCCTGATCCCAGCATGTCCATTGTGAGCTACATGACATTACAGAATGCGATTTTCTCATCTAAAACTGTGAATGCTAATTCAGGGAGGTCCACTTAGCAGCTCTAGCGGATGGTGCACATGATGTGCAATAGGTATATGAGTTCCTACGTCAGGAATACTGTCCAGTAAAAGAGAACACAATGTGGGATATACAAAACTGGTATAGATTTTATTAATAAATATATAAGTGCGACCCCTCCATCCAGGGAGAGGTTACAAAGTGATAATGAAAAGAAAAAGGATAAAGAACTATGAGTATAGTAAAAAGAAAATGTGATTGTGAAGATATTGATTAATTGCAGGACGCTATTAAAAAGTTATGAAGTAAGTTACTTAGAGGGAGCAGGAGATCCTGACCCCAATTTGTAGCCGAGAATGTGACTGCTCGTCGAGGGTGATGTGCAAAACTGGCGGGTGATCCACAGACGCCGGAGGAAGAGGACTGAGGGACACTCTGCACCACATCGCACTGATTCAGAAGTTTCTAAATAGCCAGATGAATAACAGAAATTTTGGTGATAACATGCTGGTTCTCATCAAAGTCAAGGAAGTAAATTGTCCCAAATGGCTCAGTAGTTAACAGAGGTGTTGTGTCCAGATGGTGTTTCTATGGCGAGATGATCAGCAGCAGCAGGGCTGGCAGCAGCTGGACACGCAGCATGGGCGGCAGCAGCAGCAGGGCTGGCAGCAGCTGGACACGCAGCACGGGCGGCAGCAGGGCTGACAGCAGCTGGACATGCAGCATGGGCGGCAGCAGGGCTGGCAGCAGCTGGACATGCAGCATGGGCGGCAGCAGGGCTGGCAGCAGCTGGACACGCAGCACGGGCGGCAGCAGGGCTGGCAGCAGCAGGGCTGGCAGCAGCTGGACACGCAGCACGGGCGGCAGCAGCTGGACATGCAGCACGGGCGGCAGCAACTAGACACACAGCATGGGCGGCAGCAGGGCTGGCAGCAGCAGCTGGACACGCAGCATGGGCGGCAGCAGGGCTGGCAGCAGCAGGGCTGGCAGCAGCTGGACACACAGCATGGGCGGCAGCAGGGCTGGCAGCAGCTGGACATGCAGCATGGGCGGCAGCAGCAGCTGGGCTGGCAACAGGTGGTCCCACAGCAGGTGGTCCCACAGCAGGTGGGCTGGCAGCAAGGGGAGCAGCACATGGTGTCAGGTGTGGAGGGTGGACTCCTGCTCAGAGGTGAGTTTCTCAGATTCTGATGACCCCCTCGATCCTGGGGCTTTTATACATAGGACCCCAAGTGTTGGCACCAATGACCAGGATTTTCCTTGTTCTTGTTTACATTGTTTTCCACAATCTCCTTAGAAATTTAAAAGAGGAAGTTGTTTTATACATGTAATTAATCTTTTCAAATGAAGTTCTTGATCTATTTCTGAATTGAAAATAACTCTTAGATAAAAAGGAATGGTCACATTATAAGCATATTTCTGCGTCAACTATAGTCGGGTCCCGTGATCTGTGTAGTTCCTGCTGGCCTGGGCAGGTCAGAGCAGTTGGTGACTCTGCCTAATCTGTTTACTAGAGAGTCACATCAGCCACTAACTATATTACTCTTTTTTTTAATGAAGTATTTAGATGAGGAGAAATGATACCTGAAGTATCTTTGAGAGTTAACCAATTCAAAATATTTTTTATTGTTGAAAATATTACAGATGTCCCCCTTTTTCCCCCACTGGCCCCCTCCTTCCTGCTCCCACCCCTTCTTACCTTCCCCAGCCTAGTGTCCGTGTCAGTTGGGGTGTGCATATATGCATATACATTCTTTGGTTTATCTCTTCCCTCCCCTCCCACCCCCCATCCCTCTGAGGTTTGTCAGTCTGTTCCCTACTTCCATGATTCTGGATCTCTTTTGGTTGACTCCTTATTTTGTTGATTATGTTTCACAAATACGTGAGATCATGTGGTACTTGTCTTTCTCTGACTGGCTTATTTCACTTAGCATAATACTCTCCAGGTCCCTCCATGTCGTCTCAAAGGGTAAGAGATCTCTCTTTCTCACAGCTGCATAGTATTCCATTATGTATATGTACCACAGCTTTTTTATCCATTCATCTACTGATGAGAACTTGGAAAAAAAAAATGTCTATGGTTTAACATTTACCTATAAAGTGCTCAAATATATAATTTCAAACTGGTAAATTGTTATTTCCAACTTGATAGATGATATCAAAGTGAACACACCCGTGTCACGGGGTTGAGAATAGAATCCCATCTTCTTCAGATTAAAGTGCTCACTCATTCCCAGTGATGTTTCAGTGTAGGTTGCTTTTAAACTTTATATGAATGAAATAGTAAAGAACTGGCTACCTTCTCTTTACGTAATGATTGTAAGACTGACCCATGTTTAGTTCATTCATTCACCTTGCTGTGTAATGTTCCACTGAATGAATGAGACACAATTAATTTGTTCAATATTGATGTATACAGGGGTGGGCAAAAGTAGGTTTACAGTTGTGAATACACAAAACAGAGTTTTCTGATTATATTATTATTCATTAATTATTGTGTTCCTTTCTATAAGAACAACTGTAAACCTACTTTTATCCACCCCTGCCTGTGGGTTATGTTTGGGGCTAGTAAGAACAGAGCTGTGGAGGTCCTTCGGAAAACACGCATAAACATTTCAGTTGGATAAACATCAACAAACAGAGCTTATCCTGGGCATTTCATTTATTTAGTGTATGCTATGCTTGAAATGTTAATTTTTAACTGTTTCTGACATATAGAAAAACAACTCATGTTTGTATGTTGATCTTAAACCAAACTCCCTTATTATTAATAAATTTTGGGGGACATTTTACATGCACAGCAGTATTGCCCACATATGATAGCCTTGCCCTTCTAAAGCTGACCTTCATGACACAACTGGTAGTATAACCGGTTTACACAAGACACTTTAAAGAGGAAGCATGTTACCAGATGAGCAGAGGACCTGCTGGCCTGGATGAGGCCATAGACAAATGAATGTGTTTCTTATCTGGGCGTGCGGCAGTCAACCCCGGGGGTTCAGCGTCAGGAGAGGCACGCAGGGAGAAGGGGCAGTGCCCAGCCAGTACCGCCAGGGGAGAGGGACACTGCCCCTGAGTCTCTGGTCCCTCAGGCCAGAGCAGGTGTTTGACATGAATGCAGGAGGTGCCACTAAACATTTTGTTCTTCTAAATTGTTTCTTCTGATTCTTTGGTCAGAAGGTAACCTTCCAGTTCTTATTGGACTATCCTGCTAAGCATCTGTGTACTGAGAAACAACTGCTCTAATAGACTATGAAAACTACAGCTACTACAGTATAATTGTGACTAATTATTGGTATATCAGGCTATGAGAATCAAAAAAGTTGTTATGCCTCAGGGGCGGGAGGCTCATCCTTTGTATGTAAATGAGATCAGATGTCTGAGTCTGCACATCTCAAACCCAGCCCCTCATAAACTGGTCACAGTTATAAAAACCAACTTGAAAGCATTTTGGGAGAGAGCTTCTTGTTCTCCTAGATGAATGGATAACATGCTTTCATAGTACCCTGTAATAATTGTTTCAGTGTTATGCCCTTGGATGCTTATGAACTGATGAGAATGATAGCAATAAGCAAGCAGTCAGTTACAGAGCTTAAGCAAGAAAAAGAATTTAGGAACCTCAGAGAGACTCAGCCATGGAAGGTACCCTTAGAGTCCCCTGATAGAATTCACTCATAGATGCAGGAAATCAAAGACATGATAACCAATATCTGCCAACTGGTTGTTTAGTTGATGCTTCGATACCTCCAGTGATGTGAGCACCCACCCCATGGCAGCCCATCCCATTTGCTAACATCTCCCATACACAGAGCTTCCTGATGTGAGCATCTGCCCTCCTGGGCCTCCTGCACCTTTTGCCCATTGGGATCACTTGTGACTGGACAGTCAGAACGGCATTGCCCAGCAGCTCCCCCTCCCATCAGACACCTTGTCTCCTGTGGTCCGCGCTGCAAAATCACCTTCCCTGCACTCTGATCTCTGCCAGGTGTTTCCCCGCCTCATGGGACTCACTTCTGACTAAGGACAGCCTTTCCCTATTGACGGCATGGATTTTACGGTGCTCAGTTTTTCTCAAGGACCATGAAACTGACATTGTCAATTAGATCTCTGTTGTGAAGATGACGTTAAGAGTGATTTCTCTAACTATTCTAGTTGTTCCTGGATTCCGGTTTGGTGGAATATAATAATACCCTTGAGATGTATGGACAACTGTTATGATTCTTACTATTTGCATCTGTACTGATTTCTAAGGTTCTTTTAGTTTCCAATTTCTGTACAAAGATTGTGCATCTATTTATCTCCGATTTTATCATCAAACATAAGTTGTCTGTTGTAGAACTTGGGTACAATAGATTCTGGTCGTGGGATATAAATCATAAGGAAGAGTTCTCAAATTCCTATTCCGCCCATCACTAGCTTTGCATTTGGGGGGAAATACAGTGTACACTTATGCTCACTCATGAATCATTTCTCACACATACGGTGCGATCATGCCTTACAAATATTTCTCTATTTTTCAACTACCTCTTATATATCATGTCCACACATGGATTAATCTGGAAATATTTCTTCCTCTATTTCCCTTCTTTTACTGGATCGGCCAGTCTGCTGGCAGATACCTTCTTGGAGAGAGCACAGTTCTTATACTTTCAGTGGATGTCACAAACACAAACCAGTTCATCACCCTTATTTTTAGTAGAGAACAGTTTCTTTCCTTTAACAATCTAAGATGTATGTCTCCTTTGCTTATCTCTGTACCCTGACTTCACTCAAACTGACCTCTGCTTTACTCATTGTAAACATCCAAAACGAGGAATAACGATGTGTCTTCGCACATCCAGGGAGACGAGCAGAGTGTAGTGCTGACTCCGTGATGAATGAGCACAAGGCTGAGAATTCGTAGGACCATTCCATTTTATTTCTGAAAAAACAAAATTCATGTTATATATGGACTTGCAATACCTTAAAATTCATCAATTGATCACCCCAATAGCAGATTTTATGCCTGATGGAGAGTTTTTACAACAACAGATCAATTTCTGGTTAGAAAGACAGTGGACAGAGCAAACATTCCTGATGAAAGGAACTGTGAGTCCTACAAGGAGTACTATTTATATATGTTTGTAATTTTCAAATAAACAATGGCCTAAGGAAATAATGTTAATTGGCTATTTGCAAGTGGTGAAAGGCTTGACTGACTGGTCTGAGCCCCGGAAAGAGCAAGGTCGGAATACAGGCCTCTGGAGAATACCATGTAGGTGGAGATGGTCCGTGGGCAGAAGGGTTCCTTGTGTTCCACTCTAATGCCCCCCGCAGAGTGCCCACCGCTGAGCAGGCACTGACAACTATGACTTGGATACAGCGCGTCCTGGGTCCCTTCTCAGGTGCCCACCCTTCCCAGGAAGCATGAGCAAGGTGGCCGCGGTGGAGGGGCAGAGGCTTAGTGTGGACCAACAGCACAGGCTCCCTCTGCCCACAGCTTGCGCTGCTGTGTGCTGCTGTCATAAGCACAGAACGCTGTTGAACCCTTCTCTGTAATGTCACTCGGGACAACAAACACTCACAGAACCAGTGTTCTGCACTGTAGCACTTCCACATCGACACACAGCAGGTCTTCCTTCCTATGGTCGCACGTTCGGCGTGTGGCATTGTCGTCCCCGTCTGCAGTCCATCCGCCAGCTTCCAGGACACGGCCATGGGATTCTGGACAGCAACAGTTTGGACCAAGGGACCCACTTTATGATGAACGAGGTCAACAATGGGCATGTAGCCATGGACCTACTTGTCCTATGGACCTGCTGGTCCTACCATACCTCCCATGACAGAGAAATTGCTGGCCTGATAAATAATCAAAAGTGGTTTAGGTGTGTAGCAGACACCAGCACAGAGGTGACAACCTGTGGCTTTGACATATTGTCTTCTAAATGTGGTATATGTTTTGAACCAATGACTATTCCTACGGTGACATGATGTAGTACCATATATATCCATAAAAGTTAGAATACATGGATTCAATGCAATGAATAAAAGTAAAGGTGACCCTCTCACTTACCCCCTGTGACATACCTGGGCTTTGGGCTGCCTTTCCCATCATGCCATAGGCTCTTCTGGATTGGTAGTTTTGCTCCTATGAAAG